CTGTCGCCCCCCCGGGGCCAAGCGGAAGGCAATGACAGTAACAGCACGAATGACCGTTCAGCCAGCTGGAAGTGGGCAGTGCTGGTGGAGATGGAATGCTCAAGGAGGACTGGGATGTTGGCCCTGTGGCTTCGGAGTGCGGTAGGCTGATCGGGAGCGGTCTGGCATGTAAAGTCATCCTCTGCCCCCAGAGCTGTGACCTGGCTGTCCACCCAAGCCTGGGTGCGTTGCAGCGTGAGCTTCTGCGTGCCCACGTGCACCCAGGAGAGGGGTCGTGTTTGTGGATTTGGTCTGGTGTCACTCATGCGTCCTTGCGGCCGGGGGACAGAGCATTCCTTGTTCCTCCTGAGAGGAAATTCCTGACCTGACTTTTGCGAGAAGAGGGTGTGAAGTGTCACATTTGCTGCAGCAAGTGGCAGGGAGCAGGGACAAAAGCATGGAGCAAGTTCTTGTTTGAGAACAAGCTAATCCCTTGCTGGCTGCATGGAATGGGAGAGCTGCTGGATCTGCTCCCTGGCCAGCACTCTTCCAGCTCTTCAGCCCCTCCCCAAACCCAACGTGCAAACTACCATTCCTCTGAGCTAGCTTAAGCAGCCCGCTCCCCTGAACTCCTCCCAGGCTGTGTGCTTGCATGGTTTGTCCCTGCTATAGCACCGTTTCTCCCTGCTGGGTACCATGGGCCGGCCACAAAACACCTTGGAATGTGTGATGGCTTCAGGCATGCTGCTGGCTGGACCTGGTGTGCTCATGCTTGCTTGGGGGGGAGCCAGCACAGCCTGCAGAGCATCGCAGCACACCCTGGCCCCACTTGTGCATCACTTTGTGCTTGCCCAGAGGCTCCCACAGCACTTTTCTGAGCCTTTGGAGACGGGGTGGGTTCAACAGACCGCGGTCAGAAAACGTAAGGCCCTGACATTTCGTTGGTCTCCATCTCCAGAGCCTTGGTGCTGTCCCTGAGGAGGAGAGGCAGGTTGGCTGTTGTGTCAGTGCGGGACCAGGGGACAGCGTGGCGGTGACAGCAGCGTGTCTGCTGGGCGAGGTGCTGGATGAGGGCTCTGTTCTTCTCCTGGGACCGAGGATAGCTTTGCTACGGCTGAACAAGGCGCAGCTGATGGAGTGAGCTGAGGAGGGCAGGACAGCGTGTGGATGCTCAGCAAGGTGCGTGGAGAGGAGGGGCTGTACAGGAACTTGGCAGATGTGGTGGTTTTTACGGGAGACACACGAGGCACAGCAGGGCAGGAGGCTGCTGTGCTGGAGCAGCGGTGCTGTGAGGCAGGGAGGGTAGGGGGGAGACTGGGGGAGCAGGGATTTGGTGAAGAAGCCCAGGAACAAGCCAGGTTTCAAAGCAGGCTGAGCATGCTCTGGCTGAGGAGACGGGCAGGAGGTATTTCCAAGCTGAGGTGCCCACGTCGAGCCTCGCTGGGTTGTCAGAGCAGGGATGTTGCCTCCAAGCCCAGCACTGACAGCCTGAGCACGTGTCACCAAACCGCAGCGGCTAATGCAGCCACAAGGTGTAAATGTCACTAATGAATAAATTGCCTTGTGCCTTGGAGAGGCTAATCCATCACGGCCGGGACAGGGGTCTGACAGGCTTGGCTATTTCAGGCATAGCCTGTAGGGAGGAGGAACACTCGGTTTCTGAGCCATCCCCGCCGCGTAGGGAAGCCGAATCAGGGCTTGGCTCTGCACTGCTCCATAGCTTCCCAGCTGCATGAGCTCAGGCTTCATCCCTCTTCACTGCGACCGAAGGAAGAAGCAGGAGAAGGTCTAGGTTAGCCAAAACTGCCCTGTCAGCAGGGTGATGCGCGGGCCCCAGCGGGGGCTAGCAGATGGGGGAGCTTGGAGGGAGGCTGCTGGCCGTGGGTGGTGTAGGTGCCAAGGGGTTAAAGTGTTGGGTCCCCAGCAATCAGGAGAGCTTGCATCAGTTGTCTGGGGTGCAGGGCCGTGTTTCAGGACAGTAATACTTGGTGCCATGTTTTACAAACGTGCAGTCCCCAGTTCAGTTTCATAGCTTGCCCCTGTAAGGGGCGACATGGAAATGCTCCATGGCTCCTCCAGCCCAAGCCCTCACCCAGTCCGGAGACATGGCTCTACTACGCTGTCCTGGGAGCAGTGCGCAGCCCCCCCATTTCCCCCCTCTGCTGTTGAACCCCCGCCACCAGCACCTCGGCAGGCTGTGCAGCAGGCCAGCAGGTACCCAGCAGGCAGGGACAGAAGCTCAGCGTGGACAAATCCAGCCTCGTTGGCATCAAGGGCAGCTGAACGCAGCAGCGTTTCCTCTGCACATCCCTGCAGCAGCCTGCTCCTCCACCCCCAGTCAGTGCTGGAAATCAACCTGCTGTCCTGTTTACGACATATGCCAGCGTGACACCTTGCAAATTGATGCCTGGGTCACTGTGAGCAGAAGCTGCCAGGCTTGGGAAGCTGGCCACCGGCTCCTGCTGCCATGCGGAGAGCAGCAAAGCAGGGCTTGCCATCTGCTGTGGGGGGAGCCAGACGGGTACCCTTGCTCCGGCCCGATGGGACGTCAGCTGGTGTAGGCTGAGTGAAAGCCCTTGTGTCTTTCCCTGTCCTTTACTTCCTGCCCGTCTTCCCTCATCATTGGGGTGCAGACCTATGGGCAGGGGGCTCTTCCCAGCTTGGTTGGGGTCTCTCAGCTGAGTGCCGCTCACACTGCATTGGTGGATGGCAGCAGGAGGGGTGACCACCTCCCAGGCAAGGTGCCAGAGGTTGTTCCTTCCTGAAGGCCTACAGCTGACCCCCTTCCCCAAATCCCCACAGTACTCCTTGGGGGTGAATCTTACGGGAGAGCTGAGGGACCCGTACTGGCCCTGCGCTGGCACGTGCCCTTCTTGGCACAGAGTGACCTGCTCGTTACTGCTCTGCAAGGCTGTCCCAACCGTAACAAGTGACCCACCACCGACAGGAGTGTTCACGCTCAGACAAGCTGCTGCCGCTGTCAGGGCTTTCGTTTTCACTAACATGAGTAGCGTTTGGAACGGTTTCAACCCTTGCAAACTGGCAGACAGTGGAGTGTTGGTCTTGGCCGTGGGCGAGTGGTGCTTTGCTCTTTGGCCAAGAGATTGACGTGAGGGAAGGCAAAGGGTTCTCCAGGCAGCGGCTACTTATCCGGGTGTTCCCGCGTGTGGCAGCTCAGGAGTGGGTTCAGAGGGTGCTCAGGAGGAGTTAACAGCCTTGGCTGTTTGCAGGAAGAGGAGCTGTGAGTGTCCTGGAAAGCAAGTCAAGTTGTTCTGATGATGATGATACGTTTTCCCCAGCCTTTTTCTCCCCGTCCCTGTTCCTGGCTCTGGCGGCCAAGTCCTCCTCATGTTTCTGCTAGCATGGCTGAGGGGCCTCATCGCTGCCCTCCCAGCATGGGCTTTCATTGCACAGCCAGCTGACCGGGCGCAGCCCCGTACTTGGAGCTACAGGCAGGCTTGCCCAGGACCAGGCCACCCCCATTGAGCCCCCACGCTCACTGCTGGAGCTGTTCCTTCATCAGCCTGATGCTGATCCGGGTCTGTTCTGCTGTTTCTGAACACGAGTTCTCATTTCATTCAGGTGTGTCATTCAGTGGAAATATTTTGTAAATGCAAATAAAAAGAAATAAATCTATTCAATACCTCGGTCTCGAGGATGGGAAACAAGTAGTGGGAGACGCCCGGGTGGGGAGGTTTCACGGCTGCTGCCGCCGGTTAGATTTTCTGGTGGAGGTAGCTTGTGGAACATCCGCGAATAGTTGGGAACGGGGGGGGGGCGGCTACACAGACCTGCAAGGGCTTGGGGCTGAGCCCTGTGGGCACCCCTCGGGCAGTCACCGCCGTCGGGGACAGCCTCGCACTCCATCCTTTCTGATCTTCAAGGGGGTGACAGGGCGCAGGTAAAGGTCCGTCTGGCCAGGGGCCAGCGGCACCGCAGGCGTCTGTCTCCATCGGGCAGAGCAAGGCAGAAGCGGGTACGTGGCGAACAAATTCTTTTGTGAGCACTGGGAAACAGGTTTTTACTTTTCAACTCTGTCAATATGATCTAGCTCTGTCTGTCTCTCTATATATGTACAAACAGTATATCACAATGTTGCCTTTTTTGTTGGAAATATCAAAGTACAAAGATTGTAAACCAAATCGGTGTAATAAAAGTTTCAGATGATTCACTGAGCTGGCTGCCAGCGGTGGGTCTGTGAGCGCTGGGGCTGGGCAGGGGTGGGGAACGCCTGAAGCCCCTGCGCTGCTCAGAGGGCAGGAGGGGATGGAGGTCAGCCCGCTTGCTTAATTCCCCCTCCAGCCTCTCATGGTTGGGGCGGTCGAAGGACCGAGGCAGTCGGGTACGTGCCACGTCCTGGTGGCCACAGCCCACGGGGCTGCTCCGTTTTCCTCCGAGCCCAAGGAACCTGCTCCATTTTCAACCCTGTGGGAAATGTGAGCCAGCAGTCCTGCAGGAGGCCCTCTAGCTTGCAGATTCGTGGAACATAGGTTTTTCTGACCGAATTGCACAGAAGAGCCTTGCTGGGGAAGGTGAGCATCTGGTTGTCGAGAACGTGCCTGCTTGCAAAGCAGGCTGGCACTGATCAGTGGCGTAGCAACCCAGAGCAGGAAACTGGTGGAAAGACCTATCGTTTATTAAATTCTTTTTTTTTTTAAACTTTTCACCACCCATGTCAGACTCCAGACAGGTTTTACTATAAAAACAAATCCTTGAGCAGAGCAATAGCTAGAAAAAGCTGATGAGGAACTAGAAACAACATTCCCTCTAGCCTCTATGTGTCTCACATCCTCCTCAGAAGAAAGACTAAAATAGCTGTTTGCCCTGAAGATTAGGTGGACTCCACTTCAGCTATTATACAGGTGGAACAATATCCAGTGGCCTGAACTAAATAGGATTTAGACTTGGGTACAGTGGGAGAGCGAGCTCAAGAGGCACATGGTTTCTGCAACAGTCCCGTGATGTCTAATGCCTGTCGTGTGAAGTCATGGATTGGATGATGAAGACCTGGAGCGTTTTCTTCAAAGGGTTTGGGTAGGGGGGTGCTGCAGAGACCCCAGCCTTGCCGCTTCCCGGTTGGCCCACACGATTTGGTGGATGAGGTACTCGGTCTCCTGGCCCACCTCTGTCAGGCGGAGGTCGAACTCGGTCAAAGCCTTGTTATCCACCAGCCCACCAAGGAGCTGCTTGCCACCAATCTGCAAATGGGTGAGAAGAAGGGGTTAAGGGCGGAGATCCAAAAGTGAAGTGTATTGCTCCCTTTCCTCCTCCCCAGGGCAACTTCTCCTGCACTTCCCTGCTGCTGGTCATGGGGAGCCCCTGAGATGGTGCCAGAAGTGACAAGGGCCTTTGCCCAAGCCTGAAATGTTGCTCACAGAAGTATACGGGGAAGGAGTGTCACCTTATGCAGCGCTCAGTGATACGACACATGCTAATGACCCCCTCTGGGTAGCGTGTCAGGAGTCCTCAAGCTCAGGCTGGTTAGTGGCACGGCTGGTGATGATAACCTGAGTCTCTGCCCTCCCCTGTCCCTGGGTCCTCGGCTCAGTGCCGGCTGGGGATAAACGGCAGTGGGATGAGCTGTGCTGCTCCGCATATCAGCAGCAGTGAGAGCCCCAGTGCTGGCAGTCTCCTGCCTGGTTGCCATTTCACAGGCTGGGTTGGCTTTCCTGGGGGGAACATCTTACACAACTTAAGTCCAGACTGCGTGGGACAGAAAATGTGGTGCAGATAGCCTTAGGGAGGTAACTCACTCTGGGACATTTCCCTCCCTTACCTGAAGCGTTGTCTTTAGGGATGTGATAATCTGACTTCCCTCCCAGTTATTCTCTTTCAGGTACCAAATACACCTCCTGCCCCCCTCTCCTCCATCCAGACAGTCCCCACATCCCAGCAGCCTCCCTCTTAGACCTTTTCCCAAAAAGGACTGTGAAGCAGTCTCTTTTTAATAGGGTATGGAGGTCAGAATTTAATGCATCCCTAGCAGAGGCCCCCATTTCCCCAGAGACGGTACCACCAGCTCACTTGTTGGGCTGCTGTGGAGTTTCACAAATGGGCATCAGGAAAGCTCATCAAAAGGAAGATGCTAAGCATAATTTACCAAACAAATACCCTTCTATCCTTTCCAACCTTTGCCCCCTTGTATCATTAAACTCAAACGGTTTTCCGCATCCAGGATCATGAAACTCGGAACTCAGAACGCTTTCTGCCATCAAATCCTTTTAAAACCATTGTCAAACACATTGATGCCAATATTCCTGCCAGCGGGGACAGCTGGTCTTGCTGTCTCTTTATTGTGACAGTGAGAAAAATTGAGGCAGCGCAGAAAGTTTAAAAGCCAGCATGATTGCATTTGGCTGTCTCGTTTCAGATTTCTAAAGCTCTCTTTAATCAGCAGAAGAGAAGCGGTCTGGTCTGTGGGCATGTTGCGTACTGCAGCTCTTAGGGATGTAGTAAGATCTGTGGATGCTCCTCTGTCTAGAAAGTGTAAGCCTGTGGTTTAGGGGCCACTTATAAGCACCCAGACGTGACACTTGTGACCTACCATGCCACTCGTGACCTACCACGCCACTCCAGAGCTGCAGGGTGAGTTAAAGGAGCCCAGCCACGGAGCCAATTTTCTAGCAGCCTCCCCGAGCGCTCCCTGTGACGGACAGGATTGATTCTGGGAAGGGTGGCACTCTCTGTGTGCCGCTGAGTGACAGATGGCACAGCAGATCTGAAGCACAGAGGCTATGCATAAGGCCCTCGTCTCACGATGCCTATCATTATTATCTATTCCCACGTGTGTGAAGCGGCTGTGGTTTTTGCCAGACATACTCCCTGTTTCTCAGTTTCCTGGGCTGGGGGAGAGAGGAGAATCCCTCTCTGCCCAAAAGCCCAAAGCCTGGAAGCCAGACCCAGCCCTGTGAACATAGTGAGATGTAAGGAGCAAGATAAATGCGTGTGCGTGCACAGAGGATGTCCGTCTCCTTCCCTCCGTCTGCTGGAGCCTCTTCCCTGCTTGGAACCGATTGTTATCGCAGCAGCGTTGCCAAGTGAGGGATGCGTTTTACCTCTGCAGCTTCGGGGCAGGGCAGGCTCAGCATCTGCTTTGCTCCGCCACCACACCTGCTCACAGACTGCGGGAAGAAGGGTTTCTCTTACCCGCCCCAGGTGGTTGCATGAGAAGTTGATGCTCGTCAGGGTGATGTTCTGAGCCAGGACCCAGGAGAAAAGCGCAGCAGTGGATTCCGCCAGGTTGTTACTTCCCAGGTGGATGGACTTCAGGGTGGTGTTGGTCAGCAGGGCACGGCCGATCGCCTCCCCACCGCCGTCCTCCACGTAGTTGTGGTGCAGATTCAGGGAGGTCAGGGTGGAGTTCTCGGCCAGAGCTTGAGCAAGAGCCTCAGCCCCTCGGTGAGAGATGTGGTTGTTACACAGGTCGAGGATTTCTAGCCTGCTGTGGTTGAGCAGCTTGCCAACAGCTCGTGCCCCCTTGTCCCTGATGAGATTGTGGGACAAGTTCAGCTCCACCAAGCTGGGGTGATCCAGCAAGTTACGGACCAGCAGTCTGGTCTTGTCATCATCCACTTTGCTGCGCGTCAGCTTGAAAACCTGGGGGGGTAAAGGGCGGGGACATTGAAACAGCCAGCGCTTTGGATTGAGCTTCGTACAAGACCTCAAGAGAGTTAAACCCATGGCCCACCAGACGGGATTCATCCCCCTTCACTTCCCACGCCTTTAGCCAGTGGGCTCAAGCAGTTGTTTTTATAGTGGGCAGATACTTCCAGCGGGCAGGACGTGCCACTGATGTCCCGTGCCTGTTCTAGGGAGAAATGGTTCATCTCCTGAAAACCCCTGTTCCTCTCCTCTGGCTCCACAGGATCTCTGACACAGGAGGATAAATTAAAATGAGATTTAGCTGCCCAAACATCTGCAGAGAGTAAGAACAGAACTCATCCCAGATCCTAGTCAAACACAGTCTGAATGAGCTTTTGCACTGGTGACAGGGGCAGCAGATACTCAGTGCTAGGCCAGTGAGTTAACGTCTCCACCCTCTGCCAGACCGCAACTTGCAAAGGGAAGGGTGCTGCCAGCAAGAAAACTGGTCCCTGGGTTTCTACAACCCCCTTCCCTTCCCCCTTCCCCAGTTTGAAGACCTGGCTGCGGAAGAAAGGTTCTGTCTGGGACACGTTACCTTCAAGCTGTGGCACATCTTCACAGCGACAGCCAGGTTGCAGCAGTCCTGGTAGGTGATGTTAAAGAGGTTCCGCTCGAAGTTCATGCCGCAGTCCTTCACGCCATAAGTGAGATGGAGCTCTTTGAGGTGAGGGAGAGCTGTAATGAGGACTCCCAGGTCGTAGTGATGCACAGAGACCTCACTGAACCCCAAATCACTCCCCCTATTAAAGATGTCATCCCTCTTCTCCTTTTGATCCACCTTCACCGGTGGCAGGAACTGATCCACCTCCAGTTTCTGCACATAGTCTTTGCAGAGCGGGATGAGCTCTAGGACCTGGTTGGGGTCCGTGATGTTAGGGATGAAGCGTTTCAGGACGTTCTCCAGGTGACGTTCAAAGAACATCCGTTTCCAGCTGCCTCCATGGTTGGCGATGGCACACACTTGCCAGCGCTCCGTGCAGCACCTCTTCCAGTAATCCTCATCGCTTATTAGGTTGGCAGTCACAGCAAGAGGAAGGCTGGTGGAGAGCCTGTCCAGCACCTTCCTTAGGTGCTCAGGCAGAAGACGGTCCAAAATAGGGTTCTCTGGAAGGGATGAAGAGGAGGAGAGGTTGGTCTGGGCTGTAGGAACCATGGCTGGTCCTGCCCAGGCCCCCGGCTTTGTGCCCATGCCCTCCCCGCTGCTCACACTGGCTCTCTTCTCAGATGTAAGAAGCTGGTGCAGGGAGCTAAGCTGGCAGGAAACGTGTGGGATTCATCTCCTACACTTCTGTACAGGATTTCTAACTTTTACAATAAACCGTCAGCATAATTGGGTTTACCCCCATAATATTTGGGAACTGCATCAGAAGCTTAGCTCACAGTTTGAATTTAGTTTGAATGCAGTTTATATTCAGAGCAGGACTTCTGCTCCCAAGAGAGCTCACTCAGACTTACAACCATGGGAAAGCTTGTCTTGTCATTTGCTGAAATTTCTCCCTTTTGTTTCTGAGCATATCGATGGATGCCCCATCCCTGCAAGTGTTCAAGGCCAGGCTGGACGAGGCTTTGAGCAACCTGGTCTAGTGGAAGGTGTCCCTGCCCATGGCAGGGGGGTTGGAACTAGATGGTCTGTAAGGTCCCTTCCAACCCAAACCAGTCTGTGATGCTATGATTCTAAGACAGTTAGGTAGACCCCTCTCCTTTCCCCCATCCCAGTCAGTTCTCAGGTGAGATATGCTGCTTCTGCTTTGCTGTGCTTTATGGCCACGGCTGAGGTAAGTCCAGCAGAGCATGGATGGAAGAAGAAACGACCGGACATGGTTAGGGCAGTCACATCCTGGATAGCAGCCCAGAGGAATACAGGAGCGTGCAAGTACATCCCTGGAGTGTACAAGCACAAAATTAGCAACTAGACAGTTTGTGGCTGCCTGAGGGGATACTTCTCCCCATCTGTTCCGTTGGCAGGACTGGGTACCCCACTCTGCCTTTGGGATGCATCTGCCTGCCCTGTTGACCCTCTGCTCCCCAGGACTGCACTCTCTCTCCATGTGTCCCGGGGAAACGCACTCCCGCTTACTTTCAAAATTGTGAACGATGTGCTGGAGGCAGAGCTCAGTGAGGTGGGGGACGGTGACAAGGGACCACTTGGGATCCTCAATGACACGGTGTGTGTAGCACAAGTCAGCAGCGAGGCTGGTCCGGGATGGATACAGTGAGGGAATGGCTGTGCCCCTGTCACCAGCCGCTGACCGCTGCATCCTGCTTTTGGGACCCACTTCTTCAGGAGAAGCAAGAAGAGAATTGCTTGAGAGCAGGAATCACCACCATATTTTCCAGCTGGGCTGCCTGCAAAAGGAAAAGACAACTTTAGAAAGAGGCCAGCGATAAGAATGCTCTGTTCACACCGCTCTCCTGCAAGGCACTTGGCCCCTGCCCTTTGCCTGCCTCCTCTGCTCAGGCTGGAAGCACTGCAGCGGAACAGCAATGATTCAGCCTTACCTTTACACACTGCCCTGTACAAAGAGCTCTCGAGGTACCACGTGCAATAAGCAGCTAATAATGTGGTGTTAATTCGGAGCGCTGTTGGAGAGGAGGGACAGGAATTGAATGTTTGCTGTCTTTTCCAATAAAAGGAAGAGATGAAGCTGGCAGGAGCTGGATTTAAAGCAAAGGAAAACGATGGTTCCTCACATCATATGCAGGTGAGCTGGGGAGTTCCTTGCCATGGGATATTTGGGATGCTGAAAGTGTGTGCAGGTTCCAGGACGAGTCCATGGAAGAGAAGCCCCTTGTGAATGGGTTAAACAGCAACCGAATGATTCGGTGCACAGAAACCACACCTGGCTCAGTGTGGAGGCAGGGAGAGTGCTGGAGGAAAGAGTCACATACTTGCATTGCTTCTCTGCTCTTCTCCAGGCATCTGCTCCCAGCTACTGTCAGAGATGGGATACTCTGGGATGGGATACTGGGCCAGACCATCCTCTGGTTTCATCCAGTATGCCTGTTCTTATCACTCTTTAAAGATTGGTGCTTCACAGATGAAAACACTCTAAGTGTATTCTTTTTTTTCTGCTTTTCCCAATTACTCTCCAGCTGAACTCCTTCCAAACATCCATTAACTGATGAGATGGGTCAGACCTGTTCAAACCACACTGAGCCTAAGCAGATACAAGCTAAAAGAAACAGCCTGGAGCAGAAGGCAGGATGCCCAGTCTTATTAGCTCTGCAGAGATTTCCCAGACCAAAGTTTCCCAATTTGCTGTTTCCTAGCCCAACACCAGGACCAGCACTCTTAACCACCAGGATCCCACATGTATGGTTGTTGCCTGGAGGACCTAATGGTTCCCTTCCCAGCCCCACCAGTCTGGAAGAGGCAGAGGAGACACTATGAAGGAGTCTGCCTCTTGAGTCTGGGGTTCAACAGGAGCACCCATGCTTGCTGAGCATCAACCAGGGCATGCAGACCCATGCTCATCCTTACTGGGGCTCGCTGGACCTAGCAGGGCTGCAATGCACCGCTAGGCAGTTAGAGGCTGCAGGACCCCTAAAAGAAGCATGAGGCTGATGGCAGGATGGCAGTGTCAGAGACGAGAACAGCTTCATGCAAGAGCAAGAGGGATCCTCGGGGCAAAGGTGGCCTTGCACCGCGGTAGGGTCCAAAGGATCCTGTGACAACATCCCGCACAGAAGCTAACTGCCGTGGTGTCTTGTGCCACAACATCCCTCAGCCGAACAGCGTTTTGGTCCCAAACCGCTCCTCCTTTGTGAAGGGCGGGAACCAGGTGGTGCTTCCCACAGCAAACATCATCTGTCCTTCCCCTGCATCAGGCTGCTTCCTCCTCCTCTGCCTCCCAGGGCACCAAGGTCAGGGAAGCTGTATTTCCTGGGAGGCATCGGTGCACAGATGGATGACAAAGGCAAAGGCTGTAGAAAAAGTGAGCCTGGTCTGAAGAAGGGTGGGTGTGGAAGGAGAAGGAATGGGTGGTGGGTGGATGTGAGGACTGGGAATCCTTCCTCTGCAAAGCTCCCTGTCCCCTAACCCTAACCCTAAGGAAGGTGATGTGAACACAGGCCACCATTGACGGGGGGAGAAGAGGCCTGATTCTCCACGGGACACTGACCCAGGACACAGGACACTGAAATCCCAGCTCTTGGTGCTTGACAGACTTTAGCAGAAGGGCAAAGCACAGTTGGATGGCAGCGAGGTAGCACAAACAGAGGAGAAGTGATAGGGAAAAATGTTTTCTCCTTGCTCAGCCCTTCGTCCTATTCAAAAAGCATCTGTGTCACTCTGTCCTCCAGGCCAGTCACAGCTAATTGCAGCTTCTGCTGGCTTTCCTGACCTTTTGGATGCCACCAGTAAAGGCCAGCTGTTGGGGAAAGGCAGTGCAGCATCCGTGGCCTAGGATTATTTCATGGCTGCATTCCAGCAGATGATCCGATTGCCAATGGCAGATTGATTTTTAGAGGGTACGTAACCCATGGCACATGTGGGACTGCCAAAGGGCCACCCGGAGGCCGAGTGGGAGACACAGCTGCCCTCAGGCAGAGCTGAAACCCAGCTCTGGGAACAGTGCAGACCCTCTATACATTGGATGCAGCTCGCTGAGCGATGCTCGCCTGTAGCGGGGGGTCAGCCAGCGTGTTCTTACCCAGCTGTGGGCCAGCTGCAACGCAGGGAGGCCCCAGAGGAGAGGCAGACAGCTCAGGGAATCTGGGTCCGGGCTGCTGAGGAGCTTACCCTCCACCCGAGCTCCACAAGTCAGCTCAGCTCCACACCGGCTGTGCTTACTGCCAGGGGAAGCGTCTCTTCCACTGCTGCATCCCCTCTGCCTTGGCTGCAAGTCTTGCCCAGCCCGAGCTAACATACCAAACCGATTTCCACAGCCCGGTTTGCTAAGCAGGTATTTAAACACCAGAGAAGCGTTGTAAGTCACTATCAAGGAGCCAAGTCAACAGCGTTAGTGCACGCTCCTTCCCACCCACTCTACGTACACATCAGTCACCTACGCTAAAAAAGGCTTTATTAAATGATGTACAGAACGGGGTTGTGTAGTAAATTCCCAGCGTCTGTCACGTAACACCCAGATTAGGCTGAAAGGTAAATGATACTAAAACTTCTAAAAAAAGAGAAATCGCACTTCCCTTCCCAGGAAGAAGCCGATGTTTCAGCAATCCACTCACGCAGCCAACTGATGCTGCCTACCTAACATGCCTAACAAACCTCCTTCAGTTAAAACTGTTTGGGTCTGGGAAGAAACGATTTCTGCTCTTTTGATTCACACCAAAGCCCAGGGAGACCAAAAAAGGAAGAGTTGCATGGAAATCAGTGACTTTGGCTGACGCCTCCAAGCAGCAGCACCGTGATCCAAGAAATGGAGCAACTGTAAACACGGCGTTTACTGGAGAGTTTGTAAGTGCAGGAGAAGCTCTTTGTGAGGATGGTTACCCCCCCATTCGCACCCAGGAATCGAGGAAGCTCCCACGTCACTGCAGCAGCACGCTGAAAATGCCAGCTGTTCTGCAGGTGTTACGGCCTTTGTGCTGCCACCTCTACTCCAGACAGGCTAGCGGGGACACTGGGAAGCGATCCTGATTGCTGGCTAACACCGCTGGTCCCCCTGTCCCCTCCAGGGACTTGGAAAAGTTGATGCTAAGTGTGCATTAGGACAGGGTACTGTGGGCTCATCCAGGGGCTGAGGCTCTGCAATGGTCTTTAAGTAAGTTAAAAAAAAAAAAACCCTAAACAGGCGTGCCAAACGGGGAATCTATTTAGCTTCAGATATAATGGAATTTGTCTGTAACAGGAGACTGGGGAGAATGAGGCCAGCCGGCCCTTTGGGAATATGGTTAATGGCATCACTGTGATCCAAGTGGTGCGAAGGGCCAACACTGCAGTCCTGGATATCCATCCATCAGCCTGCTGCTATCCCAGAGGGATGTCAGGGACACGAAAGCACTTTAGGACCTGAGCATCACCCACTCCATCCCTGGCAGCTCCTCTCAGGACTCTGTACCAGCCCGCAGGGATTCGGAGCAGAGTCTCCCGGCTCCGGGAGGCAAGGAGAAC